GTAGCTAGAAGTACAGGCGTGAGCCACCGGCACCCAGCTAATCCCAAAATTCTATTAGCCTTCTAAAGAAGCAATGTGGAGACAACTTCAGCAGGTAAAAATGTTCAGAGAATGAGTGTCCCTGCTAACCATACCAGATGAGCCAGGTAGGAGAAGAGCAGGTTAGTCTGTGCTACCCAACCTTTAATTAGTGGTCAGCTTTATTCTCTACAGACTTCAGATGTTTGGCATGTGTGGCTAAGATCTGGAATTTCCATAGGACAGGTCCTAGACATCAACAACTGCCATTCCATTCTAGAGCTACAAACCATCTTCCGAGTCCCTACAGAAACATGTTCCTCTACTCAAAGCTACTGTTTGCTGAATGCTTACTTACATCTCTACTTATCAGTAGATGACCACAGCCAGGAACAGTGATGTTAGTAAAAGAGGGAAGAAACAAAGGTTTAAAACACTAGAGGAACTCAAGCCAGATCTAGAGCCAGAATATTTTCCTCTAGGAAAAAAAGGAAATAAGCACTTTGGGGAACCTGGAGGTCTTTCTCAGAGTTTTAGCACAATAGTTATCTAAGGGTTGAATACCACTGGCTCTCACAAAATACTAAAGCTGCTCAGGGCTCCTGAGCCAACTGAGTAAACGAGTTTAAAATCTTAGAAATGAACTCAGCCATTAAAGCATCATTTAAATGTATTGCCATCTAAGCAAAAGAGTTAGGGTATACGTGGAAGCCTGTCACTAGAGATAGCTCTCTTCTTTTCCTATCGCATGAGTAAGCTAAAGCTCAGTAAGACACGGGTTAAGATCATGGTGATCTAAGTAAGATCACCACTATACCTGATAACAGTTATAAACCAACCAGAAGTCATTCATATATGTTTGTTTCATTGTTGTTGTTTGGTTTTGGATTCTGGCATCCCCAGAATGAATTCAACCTGGAGTGTGGCACATTTCCAGCAATGATGCCCCAAACCTCTGTGTTTCCAATGAAGCAGAATACACACTCACTGCTCCCTAATTGTAAATGTATTACTGAAGAAAACTTTTTTGATCCTTTCTCATAAAGAAAAAAAAAATCTTCACAGTAGCAAGTTCCAAAAGGATGAAAATGGCAGATTCCAGCCTTTTGTGTAGGGAGAGGTCAGATAGGATAATGGTACACACACCAATTACTTGACCTCAGAATTTCCCTGTTGTACATAGATGCCAACACTGTGCTACATAGTAAAGTCCCCCTTTCCTGCTCTGACAGTGTTGTAAAGGAATTCCTGGCTCCTAACCGCTCTGATGGGATGAATACCATTAGCCTCCCTCAAATCAGTGCTCTCCTACAGACCAGCAATGAAACCAGTTTTCCTCTTAACCTACAGTCCCAATTTCTTGGTGCCTGCTTTCTTGCTCCCTATTTCCAAACCAAGAAAACCATTCCAATGCCTAGCTGACTTTCAGAAAAACCTGATGAATATCCAGTGGATGGACCAATGAGTGAGAGAATCAATATGCTCCAGTGCATGGTATCTGGGACCTTTACCTAAACAAGAAGTACTATCCTCCGTAACAATGAACTCAAAGACTTGACTGTGGCTGGTGAAAAATGTGCTGCTACAGTTGCTGGCCATTTACAAATAACTGAAATAATAAAACTATCAAAAACTACAATAGGTGGCTCAGTGGTAGAGCGCTTGCCTTGCATGCATGAGGCCCTGGGTTCAATTCCTCAGCACCACATAAGCAGAAGAAAAAAAAAAAGCTGGAAGTGGCGCTGTGGCTCAAGTTAGAGTGCTAGCCTTGAGCTGAAGAGCTGAGGGACAGCACCCAGGCCCAGAGTTCAGGCCCACGACTGGACCCCCCCCCCAAAAAAAAACTACAACAAAGATATACTATGAATTTTATGTGAGGTACTAGTAAACATAAAAGTTGGACAGAGGTTATTGGTAAAAATAATACAAAGGGAAGGTCTATCAGATTGTTTAGTATCTTTCCGAGAATTATAAGTAGAAGTTTATCAGAAAAGAACAAATTTTGCCTCATACTACATTTCAGAGTTATAAGTCAAACCCATTCCTACAGAAAGTTAGATTATCCCCCCCAAAAAAAACTGGTCTGCCCCCTTGCTATGAAGAAATGCTGCAGAAGTGAGGTGGGAACTCTGAGAACACCAGATATTACAGAATACTGTGTGTGACATTGATGATGTTCAGGTTAATCATGGGTACAGCTCTCACTTGAAAGCATTCTACCATTTCCTGATTTATCTGAAACCTCATGTGTGGACAGGTCAGATAATTTGTCACTTAGAACATACTTCATGACAGGAAACAGAACATACTACACACTAAATGATAGGAGACACAACCAAGTGCCTTGAATGAGAAATTTCATAGCCAGGTGCTTGTGACTCATATCTACTAATTCTAGCTACTCAGGACGTTGAGACTCAGGACGTTGAGACTCAGGACGTTGAGATCTAGAGGATCTTGGTTCAAAGCCAGACTAGGTAGAAAAGTTCTGATATTCCATCTTCCAAAATAACCATCCAAGGGCCTGGCTAGAGGTGTGGCTCAAGTATGGGGCACCAGCTAAGCATATGCAAGGCCCCGAGTTCAAAGCCCAGTACCATTAAAAAAAAAGAAAGTTTTAGTTTCCTCACCTGTAACAGTAAGTCTCAAGGCAGCCTAGGTCCAAGCTTGCCAATTCTACAGCTTAACAATATGATCAAAGATAACACACTCTTGCTCAGAATTCTGTGGTCCTTATGTGTTAGTTTGTCCTCTTATGATAATTCGTGGTTCAAAAATTTCTGCTACCAAGTTCAAAGCACCACATATAGACAACCTCTGGAGATAGAAACTCTTCTTCTTCAAAAAGAGTAAATTTTTTTCTAGAAGCACCCATACAAGTTCTCTTCCTGTCCAACTGGCCAAACTTGGACCAGTAACTGGTAAGAGAAATAGAAATACAATGACTGGTTTAGACTAATGAGGAGATAGCCCCAGAACTTGAGTCTACAAGCACAGAGAACAGTGGAATAAAATCAGGGCTCTGCCTGTCTGAAGGGTGATCTGACAGATCTGGGTTGATGACAAGCAAGCATGTTCCCAATGACCACATTTCTCTGCAGTGCTTGCCCACAACTTGAGATTACAGAATCTGTAGCAATTTACATTATCTTCCAGAGATGTGGAAAACTGGAAAGCCACAAGAAGCAAAGTATGTGGCAGGCTTCTTTGGCAGCCAGCACTTTGAATGGCCACAGTGCTACAGATGACTAGGAATGAGCAATCCCAAGGAGATTTCATCCAGAATTTCAGACACTCAGATCAAGTGCAGTAAGCAGAGGACAGAACAACTCTTTCATTCCCTAAGACTCTAAAGGCTTTCTCTAAATGTCAACCAAAAGATAAGCTTTTTTATCCTCACTATAGCTGACCAAGTCAAGTGCCTGCTTCCCCTTAAATGGAATAGAGTGCTTTTCTCTCCGCACCTTTGCAAGTCCTCCTGATCTAAGAAAGAACTCCATGTGATAGTCTAACACCCACTTCATGCTTCAATTTCTGCTGAAGCATCTACCACAGCCATCTTCAGAATGCAGAGGTTGCTTGGCTTCTTTTGCTCCCTCTTTGATCATAAAGATTCATCTACAGGAGCTCAGCAGCCCTGAGGGAGGTGAGTGCCATTCACATTCTAATATACAGGGAGGCAGGAGGCTCTTGAGTATAAAAGCTACTTTTCTGCATTTGAGAGCACCAACCCGACTGTTTTCCTTGCATTCAGACAGGGTTAGCAGTCTGTCTCTTCACATAGGAACTAGGAAGCAAAAAAGAATCTTTGCTTGTGAGTGAGGTGGGGATGGAAGAAAAATGTGGAGTAGGGAAACACACAGACAAGGCAGAATTCCCCAAAGCCACAACCAGCCCTCAGTGATGTATTGCTGGGGGAACACAGTTAAGAAATCAATAATGTACAGTGGCCAAATATGTGATAAAAGCTCAGCAGCAGGCAGGTAGATGGGTGTTGACTCTACCTGAACAGACGTGCAGTTTTTTTTAACTCTACATTCCATGAGTCAAGGTACATTTGTAGAGGAAGGGAAACAACCCAAGAAAAGCCTATCTTCCAGAACCAAATTCATGCAGAGTCTATCATTATCATTCCAGGCAGACAACACATCGTGAGAAAAAGACTGCACCTAGAAATAAAACACCACCTGCAAATATTCAGACTCCCAGCAGACTACAAGTGAAAGTAGGCTCCTTGGTAAGGCAAAATTCACCTGCTAATGAAAGATAGCACGCTCTTTGGACTATGGATATTTCTAGCTATCAATGGTGCTGAGAGGCAGGTGACATGATGCAAGATGTGTCATAATACAATGACCCCCACACACTCACACCTGCAGTGCATGCACACAAGCAATTGGGCTCTCACAAGGCAAACAAAGTATTCAAAGCCCTGACAGCCAAGACAAACAGGGCCTTATAAATGTGCCATCTGTCACATTTATAGGATGTTCTAACACAAACAAAAGCACCAACCAAAGCTTAGTGCACTGAAGAGATTTATAGCCCAAGCTGTGGCTCTTGGGTCCTCCTCTATCACCTTGGGTATGTCACTCAACCTCACCAGTCTGAAACTGGCTCCTCTGTTATTACCTACCCAATTATTCACACCTCCTAGGATCTTAGAACCTTCTGGATAGGAAATTAACACTAAACTACAAAGTACTATCTGACTGCAAGGAGTCTCTCTTACTTAATACATGCTTGGTATGTCTCATTCTATAAAAAATTAACAGCTTATCAAATTCTACAACTCTAGTTGTAGGCCCTGATTCAGTAGGGTAGAGGAAGGGAAAATCTAGAGGAGAGGAGAAGAATAATTGTGTTTAAGAGCAAAAGAGGGAAATGAAGACCCATTTCTACTAGGTATGCATAACCCACTCACTAGGAAGGACTAGGTGCTTACAGAAGTGACAAATGGCCCCAGTACCTTGGAGACTTACCTTGTACACAGCTGCCTTTCTTGATCTTAAGTAAAGATTGGTGTTCTGCCTCATGCATTTTAAAGCTGGGTCTTCCTCCTCCTGGAACAATAAAAGTATTTGCATAGGGACCACTGAAGGTGAAAGGCTTGGAACTAAGTGAAATGCCCATCTGGTAAACCTGGGGTCATTTCCATTATTTAGCCAAGCAAAAGAGTTAGGGTGGCAGATAGTAAGCATCTTGTACATACCCGACTCCCAGCTGGTGGTACAGTACAACTAAGCATAAACCTTCATTGTCAAAATGGAGGTTGGAGCTGCTGGTTCCTCCCTCAGGGTGCTGCTGTTAGACTTGTGGTTCTCAACCCTGTTCACCCTACAACCACCTGGAGAGGTGCTTAAAATACCAATGCCAGAGCTGCTGTGGGTAATAGCAACTACATCCTATCTGGAAATGATTCAGCACTGGGATCGTCTAAAAGTGTTCTAGCAATTCTAGTCACAGAATCTGAAGTGACCTCAGGAAACCTCTCACAGAGAGGTGGCAGTAAGGCATTTAACCAGCCTTGGCCAAAACTGCCAAAGGACATGTGGCCTTATAACATAAATGTCAAAAATTAATATTAAAAAGATGTCTGACAGTAACACCTTCTTGCTAAACCAGGAGATGTTAGTTAATGTATTTCTTGATGTTACAAAAACTACACCTCATCAACCCTTTCTTATAAAACTTGCCATGAAAAATCTTGTTTCACAATTTCCAAAACAGATGCAGCCTTCAGATGACTTCAAAAGGAAATGCCCACAGATAAACAGGTGTAAAGGTGTTTCACCAGGAATTACCCCAAACCACAGAGAATACCAGAATACCAATGATGGCCTCAAGTCCTCATAAGAAAAGGAAAGGGAAACAGGCATTGGCACATCCAGCAAGGGGAGGTCTCAAAATTTGAGGAATAACAGAGCATATGGAAGACAGCAAGGCCCAACCCAAGGGAAAAGAAAGGAAAATCTAAGGCTGGTCTCTCTTCCTACAAAATTCATACTTCTGCCACAATGGACCAGAATGTGATTATGTCCACAAACTGTACAGAACAGTAAGTGATTTACAAAGCAGTTAACGTCTCATTTCAATGTCTAAGGTTTACTGAGTACTCACATTGTGACTAAATTAACAGTTCACCACGTTCTACGTCACTAAATCTTCACAATGTCTCAGCAAAGTCCATATTATTATCCCTACCTCCTCAATGAAAAACTGAGATTCATGATCACACAGGTAGTATCTAAAGACAAGCCATCTCTTCCAAACTCATCACTATCAATTCCTCTGGAAGCACCACAATCCCCTCAACTGGCATCTATTTCTCTGGTAATGCTTAGATAAAACATTTACAGTCATCCCTATGTAACGTAGCACTTTCTACCCTTTTGCTACCTAGTAATCAAGATCTTTAGAATTCAATAAGAGCTTCCTTTTATGTGTATATAAAAGTCAATGTCATGACATGGTAGCAGGAGCTGAAATGATTCCAAACATAAGCAAACCTGCTGACCAGCTGGTCTGGCTGGCACAACATTGCTGTCCCTAATAAAAAAGAGCACTTAACAGTATACAAACCAGTAAGCTGAGAAGACTTGTGCTAATAGTAGGAGTAAGCCACTAATCTGCCCAGCGCTGACAGACTATAGCTGCTGTGGGACGTATGTTCAGACATCCTTTCATCATCATTGCTCAACATGCAGATGAATAAGCAGGCTCCTTACCTAATCACATTCTCTGACTGCGATGACAATCTACACTGGGTGGAGTCCAGACTTCACAAGGCATGAGGTCTTATTCGACTTCCAGTCAACTTAGATCCTGATACAAATTCCAGGTGGAATCTAACCTAACAGTGGATCTGCAGCTTCCACACAAGACAGAGAGCAAAGCAGATACAAGAGAACATCACACCCAAGAGGTTGTGGAAAGGATAAGGGGGTAGGTAGGGAGATTGTAGGAGAGAAAATGCAGGGTGGAGACAGATTGAGTACCATCTCCTAACATCACTAAGTGCCAATATGCTTGCTCGGAAGTAGATGTAATGAATAATTAAATAGCTTAGATTCACTGATTCAAAGTCTTCAGTCTAGCTTGCCTCTCTTCTCCCTACAATTCCATTTTGGATTTACTTTTGCTCTTTGCAGAACCTGAGGACCTTGGCAGTCACTCAGTGAGTTGAAGCAATAAATAAGCCTTGGAAAGTTCCATGTTGATTCCTAAAATAGCAACGTTCAACAACAAAGCACAGGAACAGCCCTATGCATGCTCTCCTTGGACTAGGTCTCTGGGGATTTGCAAGGCAGGCCCTAGATGGAAGAGCCCACTCTCTAATCTGACCTCTGTTTTAACACAGAAAACAGCTCAGCTTTTGTTTTATTCCTCCACCACCTCAAGTGGGCCAACATTCTTCTCTGTTCTGCACCAAAGTTCTTATCCCCTTCCAGTTACAAGTCTCCAAATGATCTTTCATGTCCTATATGCTTTTCCATCACCCCAATAACTCCATCCAGCAGCCACAACTTCAGCCAAGAACATCAATGGCCAGCCATAAACAAAATGCATCTTTCTGGAAAGCTTGGACTACAAAGAAGAAAGGGTCTGGGCTTCGCAAGCAGGTACATGATCTTGAAGGTGGCACTTCCTAGACACATAGCTTTTGATCTCCAAGTCACTAAATTTAGTGATGACTATGCTCTATAGTAACAAAGGTAAAGACTTTACTATCTTTTTCTGGAAGACACCAATACAATGGCTGGTTTACAGTGACCAGTCAATGTCCCTTCTCTTCCCTTTGGTCACATGGCTTTACTGCTGTTCCAACCACCACTGTTCTGGAACATCCCTAGCCTAGACCTCTCATCATAAAGTAGCCTCCTAACAACAAGTACCAGTCCTCCTTGGATTAGATCATGAAACACAACTCCAGGTAGTTTCTGCTCAGCGGCTGCTCCTTCAGTGGCTGTTCTCTATATTGGGAAAGCAGAACTTTGCACATTTCCTCATATGACCTTAGTCTTGCGTAGGATAGATAGTCTCTGCTGATGAAAAACCCCAAAACTGACTGATGCTCACACTATACTAAAGTGAGTTCTGTTAGAAAAGCTCTGGAGAAGCCTGCTTCTCTCTGGGCTAGGGTCCCCATCTACCTCCACCCTAGTGTGAACACACCAGGCTTCCAAACCAGCAGACCTGTCACCAGGTTATAGGATTCACTGCTTCCTTTCAGAGTGATTAACAATACCAGAAGGAAGACACAGATTGACAGAAATTCCCAAAGAAGTGTTTAAGGAAACACTGAAAATGGATGACAGCTAACCGTGCTTTTGTAGCTCTTGGTAAAGCCAGAAAAACCGAACTTGGAGACGAACTCTCTGGCTCATTTCCTCAGGCCTGTTTTGGAAGCGGTGAGCAGGGAGACAGCAATGTAATCCTGATTTGCATCAAAAATGTCATTTCTTCTTAAAAAGGGGTCAAACCTATCATCACAGCTTGTGCTTATTGGTATGTTGTCCCATTTGCTTCTTCTAGAAAGCCATTTCCAGGAAAAGCCACCTAATCAAGTGGAAACGGAGCCCCTGCTGGGGGTCTCACTGCACTAGCTCCACAGAACTCAAGCCCTCAGCCTCTGTCCTTGGTAAGATCTGCCCCTGTTGGCAGCTTGGTTTTCCAGGGAAAACTAAGGAGAGAGTTATTTTTCCTTACTCAGCAAAAAGGCAGAATCTACTTACTAAACACAATCAAATTTTACAAGGCACTGAAGTGATGACCCCCAAGGTAAGGGCCCACAAGGTGATAAATATCTTATAAACTCAAAGGTCACAGACCTAGGTGTTTATGAGCACAAGAGATGTTTACGGCTATCCACTCAGCTAGAAATTTCCTTCCAACCTTACTCTTTTTCTTTATCACCAGCCACATTATTATTATTCTCCAATTATTTTTGAAAAATACAAAGCAAAGGAGACTATAAAAGAGCTTTATGAGACTGTTGAGCCAAATCAGTATGCCAGAAACAAATCAATGCCTCAAAGAGTTCTGAATACAATTATAGGCAAACAATAGTCAGACATATCTGGTAATCTCCCTACAAACCATTATTGCATAGATTAAAAGATGACAGATACTTCTCTCTGCTCCCCAATATTAATAGTGATATAAAGCACATTTAATAAACCCTAACTGCCAGAGCCCCAAGTCGGAATATGGATCTGCCTCCTTATAGACTGGTATGTGCATGCAGGCTCAGTTTAATAATATACAATCTCAGGTCAATCAAAATCTACCCTCACCAGCGCTCTATTTATTATCGCCTTTGCCACAACCTACACCCAATCAGATGCTGTCCTAAAACTCTCTTGGCTGGCAGCTGTACAAAAATCTGCACAGCATCAGCATAACAAGTGACAGGTCTCCCCATCAATTACAACTGTGAGGGAGAGACAGCTTCAGTGGGGACATAACCCCACCGTCAGATACCACCTTCATTTCTGACGGACCATCAGATCAGAAAAGAAGCTGTCATCAATGCAGAAAAGGAACCCAGCTCCTCATTAGCCAGAGTTTCCTTTGCTTTCCTTTTTCTTCACATACATCAAGGAGTAATAATGGGCCAACTCAACTCTGACAGCTCCTATGTAAATGGCATTTAAATGCAGGCAAGCAGCTCACAAACAAAGGGGCTCCAGCTAGGTTGCAGCTCATAGACCCACTTAGACCTAGAGTCTGTGCTGAGGGTCTCTAGTGTATGAGCATCTCGATGATCACAACAAGGGTACTAAGGAGCTTTGTGTATCTCCAGGATCTCGAGGGTACTGGGGAGCTTTGTAGGATGGTCAATGGGCAACCTACTGGAGTCCAGGGATAGGTTCTCAGGACAGTAAGTGGGCAGCACCTGACTCCTGGCCTGCCCATATCCCTAGGAAGGGCTCTCCCTCCAGCCATACCAGGCTCCTGGATGTCTCCTAACCATACTTCTGCTTAGGTTCTCTTACCCCACTGCTTCTCTTAATCCAAATCCTCCATCTAATCCTGTTGGGTCCAATTCAAGACCAATTTG